CAGTAAAAAAAAAAAGTGGTTGCAAATTTCGTCCGATTGCGGAGTCTTGCGAGATCTCGAACCTTCCTGTTGCAAAAAGAAATCCAAGAAAAAGCAGAGGGTATCCCGGGAACTCAACCATGCAGAAAGAGGCTCAAATAGCCGAAAAATCTGCAATCTGGCGTATTTTACGTGGCAGGTTTACTATGTACACAACGGTAGCCTGAGGGTTTCCAAGGACAGTTTAAGAGCCGTAAGTTTTGGTTCTCTTCAGTCTGGGCGGAGTTTTTTCTTCGGCTCGTATTTTTGTTTCCATCAATCAAGTTCATTAGGGGTTTAATCAAATTTACGAGGATGAAAACCAATCAGCACTGAGACCTTCAAGAAAAGTGGAAGAATTGCAGTATTTTATCGCATTGAAAATTCATTTGGAGTATCAAGGTCACTTGCACGACTCGTCCCCTCCTTCCGCAAATTTCACCAGAGGAACAAATTCTTTCGATTACTTGGCAAATTACTGTTGTTCATAGGCTCTGGGACCTGAAGCAAAGCGTCTTTTCCTAAGAGGGAATTTTTCGCGTCTTTTTTTTTTAATTCTTGAAAATCAAGATGAAAAAGTTCTACGAATCGAAAAACACTGTCCTGCTTTCGTAAGACTTGGCATGCCACCGCATACGCAAAGCGTTCTTATTAAAATATTTTTTTAATATGTGACTTTATTTAAAAACCCGAGAGGATACTTTTCACGGCTACGTTGTGACCTGAGGGAAATGTAATACTGTACCAACGCTTCTTGGTGAAGGAAACTGCGAGATATTTTGATTACATCGAAGTCATTCAAATTAATGTCTCCCATGAGTTTCATAATTATCACACGGAAAGGTCGAATGTCTTATACAGTACATTTAAAATTAAATTTTATATCTCGCTCTGTGGGCAGATGCAGTTCGGAATTTGCGTTTCTGAGAAACAACGAAGACTGTGGATAATGGCTTGGAAGAGATGCATTGAAATTTCAGCGAGTGGAATTTCAACATTTCCCGACCAATCTTGTAAGAACGAGAGGCAGTTCACACCCCATCTACGTGAGAGCAAAAGGTTTCCCTGCCACATTTCATGGTTTTTATGAATTGATGAGAATTTCTTGAATTAAAAATGGTACGAATAATTCAAGATATTCCTAGTGGCATTTTTTATGATCCAATGAACATTTCCAAATGATTAACAATGTTGAATTGTCGCCTCAGAATTCATTGAGTAAGATGCTACTTTTTCATGAGCTGCAAATATATGAAGCTTTTTCAAGATGAAAAGACTCCAATCAAAACTTATCATTGACTTTCGAGTGATTTAGACTTTTTAGAGAATAATTAGTAAGAATCAGAGGTTTTCTGCTGGAAGTATAACACAAAAGAGGAAATCGTAGCTGAGAATGTGTTTCATTTCTCAACAGGATCAATAATATGTAACGGATGAAAGATGCTTGAGGATCAATTTTGAATGCGAAACGGAAATTTGAAATAGTGATGCTTCGAATTGACTCTTGCTTACCTTAACGGAAATCTCAGGTCACCTCTTTCGATTCTTGAATTATTCAAGTACAGTATTCGAATCCAATTGAATGAATATTTCATCCCAAATCGATCAACTTACACAGGCATTCCCTCGTAAGTAACCAGAAAAATAATTGAAATGCACAAAATTCGGCATCCACTTCAAAGGTTCCGTAGTGAACCTGTTTTGATTACCTTTGCTTCTAATAAGACTTGAAAAAGAGCGTTTCAATTTATTTTGCAAGACCTTCAGATTTTTACAAAGTGAGCAGTACTTGTAAGGAAAATGGCTCTTCGTAAAGAATAATTATGAATGAAAGTGCTTTTGTTTTTCTTCTCACTGGTTGAACAAGGTTGAAAAATATTTCTCTGTGCTTCATTTTAAATTGAACACGCATCAGATGAGTAATCGCTAGAAAGCGAAAAGCTTTACATCAATTTTATCTTTATTTTGCATGGACAAGTAGTATTTCAAATCACAGAGAAGCGGAGATAATTTAAATTCGGAGAAATGCTATCTTTGGTATTCTGATTTCATGGTTTTTGTGACTTTATTTCGAAATGAACGGTAAAACTGATTAAAATGGGGTTTTTGATTTCAGAATACGAGGATTATTCCTTTAAAAATGTTCACGCATTGATGATGAGGCATGATTGTTTGTTCTAGCAAACAAACTCTCAGCTAAATTTCCCCGTGAGTGGAGGACTTACTATAGAGATAAATATCATTTATTCCAATTGAATTGCTGTATTCTGTTATTATTTCGACAGATCAAATGCTTGTGAACATTTCTCATCATAAATCTTGATTTTCTTCAAACAACCAAAAGGATTCCTTCTCGTCTGAATCTGCGGCAAAATATGAGGTCGAAAATAGCATTCCAACATCTGCTGTGATAGTTCAAGTATGAAATTAGGTTAAAAGAAAGTTCGTTATGACAAATGCTGTAGCTTCGGAATGTCATGAACGTCATGCTGAGACAATCCTACAAAAATGTTGTTGCGAAAAATCTGCAATATTTTTCGCAATAGTTATGTTTCTACTTTATTGATCTTCTGCGGTTTCATTCGTAAAAAATCCCTGGATTTGATTTATTTAGTTTTCCAGGGAGTTTTCTCGAAATCCAGCAATTCTCCCCAAGTCATTTAATATTTTTGCTGGCGTTTCGCGGTGGTGATATTTACCACTTTAATTTCTCTCATTTTTAATAGGATTAATTTTTCATGCATCAGGGATTTAAAAAATATTAGTCACACCCATTTCTCGGCAAATATATTTGAAATTCTGAATAATAAATGTTTTTATTGTTCTTCGCGTATTCTTGTTCTTGAAATGCGAGAGAAAAGAAAGAGATGCCCGAGGCAAAATATCAGGAAGTGTTCCCCGTAAATAAAGAGAAAATCTTTCTGGTTGATTCGATTTTTCCAACGAAATTCAAAGCATAAAATCTACATGCGTTCATGTTTCATGAAAATTCTGAACATCAGTCATCCTTAATTTTTCATCTTCGGAATGATTGTATGGGAAAAGCAATGAATTTTTGCCACCTATCTTCGAAACTTTTTATTCTAACTGTTCTAATTACATGTAAGTTCTGATGAAAAAAAAACGCATTGGTCGTAAATCTGCGCATGATTTACGGTGTATTCAATACATATTCAATGTGGAAATTCTCAATTCAGTTCATGGAATCAGCAGCATGAATTTAAAGCCACATTTTAATATCCTTAAATATAAATACAATATTCTAATGCTAAAGGGAATCATAATGCAATCCAATATGTTATACGATCCTCGCAAAACCTTGTTGAAGTTGTGGCGGCATTTTTTCTGGACATTTCCCATTTTGCAATAGTAAGTCAGCCATTTTATTTATTCACCATCGCAGATAAGGAGCCCCACGAAAGCGCAAAAAACATGCGGAACTCTTTCTATTCTTTGCGGATGAGGAAATTACTTTTTCAAGTTTTTTTTTTTTTCATGAGAAAGAAGAACACTGATTGGAGGCCACCATCCCTGGTAATCCCATACACGTATTCCCACAAAAATCGAAGACAACAGGAGTTTCCTTCTTATTCTGGAACAGCTCGGCTTTATTCAGGTCAGGAGGCCTAAAAAAAAAGGTTGTCTTCGAGCAATTTCGTATGCGAAGACTGAAGTGATGCGTGCATAGGCGGCAAGAGTTTTCCGCATGCAAATTTCACATAAATTAGTTCCACGCATTCGGAGACTTCCTTCTTTTTGCAGCTTCATTACATTCACCGAGTGCTAATTTCAGAAGCAAGATTTCTTCGAGACAAAGAGAGTAATTACCGAAGTACGAGAGGTTTATGGCAGCCAAATGAAGGTCACTTGCCTCAGTTGATTATTTTTGGCGGTTCGTCGACAGGAAAATGAAATTAAGGTACAGTACTAGGTAACGGTGATTCCCGCAATACCAGACTCGCAAATTTGTGAGTATTTCTGAGGGTTGCGGGCATCTAATTTTTGTACTTTCTGCAAAATAACTATGCGGAAAATTGGAAGGGGGGCTAAAGCAATCCTACAATCAAAGAACTGCCACTTGTGTCTAGTATCTGGGAGAGGAATGCCAAAATCGTCGTCTTCTTCTTGCAAATAGGACATCTAGCTAAAACATGAAAAAATCAAAATATTGGCACAGCAGTCACAACGAATTTTCTTATCAGAGAGAGATATTGAAAATTCAAAAGTTTTGGCATCATCCCCGAAGAAAATGTTTTTCTACATTTTTAGTTGAATAAGGAATGGAATATTTCAATTGTGATTTGCTTTTATTTCTAGGACGATTATTTTTTGCCCCGTGCGCCAAAAATGTTTTGTTTTGATGGTCTCAGAATTTTATCTTTCTTTCATAAAGTTCAACCTCTTTTTCACAGTATATTGCACATTTTGAGGATGTGATATCTTAGAAATCACACTGTTTTTGCGTAACAGGAATCTTCCATGTACTGTAACAGTTTATGGTCTCCCAATAAACTGCAAATGCAAATGAATACAGTACTTACACTAGACGCGCGAAAGCAGGAATTTCAGCCAGTTTTGGAACTTCCCGACAACAGCTTCTCACATCCAAAAAAATAGTTCGGGATAGTCGACCAATTTTTTTTCCTTTTACCATTTGGAACTTTGCAAATTGTCTGTTTCTTCTTTCACGTCGTATTCAGCGCGAAAATCTGGAACATCGTCAGAAATATCGGCCTCCTTCGCTGGATCAGCAAACAGTATCTCGAATATGTAGGCCACTATGGTTTTTTTTCAAATGGGTCACAGTGCTACCTACAGTCAAATATCCTCTAAGGAATATAATTTCACCGAACCGCCCTTTATGAGCAATATAATGACTAATTTTATTTTCCATTTCTTCTTTTTTTTCCAGGATTTCCTCGCGGGGAAGTAATTTCACAAATGAGTGGAACGGACGGCGGCGTAGGAAGTGGTAGTTTTTAATGGCGTCGTCGGAAGTGCTGCCAGTAAGCCCTAGGCACTCGGTGGTCGGCGGCGGTGGCGACGGCGGCGGCGGCGGCGGCGGCGGCGGCGGCGGCGCCGCGTCGCAATGCTTGAAGGTGCGGGCCAAGTACGACGACATGCCCGCGATGACCCATTGTAGAGCCGTGGCGAGGATCGTGTCCACGCCAGTCTCCTCGGCGGCGGCTCGCCGCCTCCCCAACTTTTTCGGCAACAAATTGCGGCATCGGTGAGTTGAAAGAATGGATTATCCTGTATTCTCTGATAAATCTGCTGGTACCGTATTTAAGCTCGTATATACGGATGGACTGTCTACAATGCAATTCGAAGGAACAGAAAAAAAATCGTTTTAGACAGAATTTTCTTGTACAGAGCCCCGATTACATATGGGGAGAGAACCATTTGGGAACACAAAATAAGTCGTTATCCAGTACACTGAAAAATCGTTAGAGACGATATCGTTGTCGGGAGAGAGTCCACCTGTGTACGAGCACAATAGGCCATTTTGCAAGTAAAGGCCACCCCGTCATACTTGTCAGTCATACTGTCAGAGAGGGAAAAAATGCCTGCGTCCTTTAAAAAATGAATATTTTGCAGAGAAAAATGAGACATGAGTTGAAAAATATACTCGAGTCAGCCTCTGATTTTTTCTTCTTCATTTAATAATCATTTTCATGGACTGAAATTATTTTTATAATACTGTCTTTTTTCTTCAATGCAAGGTATAGATTCTCACACTCTGAAGGTTTATCTTGTTTTGCAACAGTCCACCCCCCCCCCTCCCCCTAATCTTGAAATGACAGAAAAAAATAAGCTGAGTGATGATAGTTCCATGTTTATTAAATATGTTTGCTTGAAAAATTCATGGGGATTCCCGCGCGACCGTATTTACAAAGTAAAGCAAATATATCGATAATTTATAAATTTAAAACAAAGGTAGAACTGATCTGTAACCGATCCATTCCTGGATCATTATTTTCCACTATTTTTTTTTTTTTTTTTGCATTCTCCGGTGGATTTTTTTCCCCAGAAGTGTTGTCGTCGTCATACTAGGGAAATTAATGCAATACTAAAGTAATTATCATCATAAACATGGACTAGGATCAATTTCAAAGGTAATTTTCATTAGCAAGGTTTATAAAAAAAATGTTGCCTGCCTTCATTGGACGAAACGACAGATTATCCGAGCCGGTGTTGCTGCCGGAACTGCGGACCATGAGAGAAGCCGCCACGCCTGCGCCGGTCGTCACCCACTCGTCGTCGGAATGCGAACTGGCAAGCACGGGGCGATCAGATGACTGCGGCAGTTGCAGGTCGACGGACTCGGGTCACGGATCAGCCCCAGGGGACAAACCCGATGACCCAGTGCTGAGGGAACCCGACGAGGACGCCACCAAGGTTGCGGACAATGACGATGGCGGGAAGACCGGATGTGCTGCCGATGGTGAAGCCCAGCATGCTGATGATCATCATCACAGGGACCCGCTGGAGAAACTGGTTCGCACTCTGCAGCAACGCTGCAAGGACCAGCAAGCCGAAATCTTTTCCTTGAAAACGAAATCTGCTACAACGGTGATTATCATTTTCTAATCTCTTTTTTTTTCGTTTTTAGTCTCAATATACGAGTACAATGAGGTTTCTTTTTTTCAACTGGGTCCATGTTATGTTGGAAGGTCCCCATGTGGGGTGTTGGAATTACGTCATAATTTCAAAACCCACTTATTGTCCAGCCTCTGCAGGAAAATTATATCATGAAAAAAATATTCCCTTTCTGCATAACTGGCCCAATGTCGTACTGCTAAAAAATCCTGAAAGTTGTCAAAAAAATTATCGTTTGGAAAAAAACCAGATAAATCTCGTGCAATGGTAGAGGGAAAATGTTGTTTCTTAAGAACTGGAACACATGCAGGATCACATTTTCACGTGTAATTCAGAAAGAATATTTTCAATCATAATTTTCCACATGGGTTGAAAAACAAAGGCAGAAAAATGTTGCCAGAGAAATTCAATAAAAATGTGTTAATCACCTTTAATGCGGAAAAAACTGCACTGAAGAAAACCAAACATCATCCGCCGTTTTTGGCATAAAAAAAAGAATCAAAAGAAGAAAAACAAGCATATAAAATGCTGTTCCACGCAGTTCATTATAAACCCCCTCCTTCAAACTGAGAAGCAACAGCAAACTGTAACTGAGAAGAACAGCAAAAGCTGATGGCAAAATTTTCCGAGTTTATAGCGTCCATAAAACATATTGTCTGCACGTCAGCTGACATCCATAATTTGAGGCCTGCATTTATTGGCTTGCAAATTACGGTATCTCCATGCAAAACCTCCGAGATTCCGGGTTCTGCGACCCGTTTACTAGGATAATTTGCATAATACGGTACTGTATATTGTTTTTACTTACAAATTAAAAATTGAAAACAACCCGTGGTCAGGAATTGGCACTTAATGAGTGTGATGAGAGGGTTGAATCATTAGTTATTTGGGTTTCTTGATTTTTTTTGCCTCGGACCAAATCTACCGTTTTTCTCTCTTTTTTTCACTTTCTGCAAAATTTGAAATCGTCTTGATATAACTCTTCCGATGCTCAAGGTCTCCTAATTGTTTTCCTCCCGCTTTCTTTTAAATCTTCGAGCATGAGTCAATTTTTTCTCGAAAATTGCTCATAGTTAAATTTCATATCAAAAATCCCTGAAGGAAATGCCGTACTGTAAAACATAATTCAAAGATTGGCTCCTTATTGGGTCTTGTTTAGCCTGATATCGAGCTTGCTTTGAAATTTTCTTCCACATAGACAAAATGTACGGTACTTTTCCTCTGGTTTTATTTTCTCAATTTTCGAACAAAGTAAATCTAAAATCCTTTTGATTCAACTTCCCCTAAATTCAAGGTCCTCACCGATTGCCGTATTTTTAACGAGAAAATCTCGATATTCAATTTCAAATTCAAGAACAAAGCGTAAGCCAGAATTTTTTGCTGCGAAAGTTCCTAATTATTTTTAATCTATCCTTTTTCTTAATCATGTGGATTAAATGGAGATCGAAGTTGTTTCTCCAGATTAATATTTAATCATTTCCGACAATTTCTCCAATTTTTCACGCCCTTTTTGATTTTGAGAAAAAAGAAAGAGCCGATATTACAGCATGCCACTTCAAAACTATAAATTTTCTTTCACATTTCCTTTTTGGCGAACTTATGATAACTTTTTCAATGTGCTGACGATTATTTCAGATGATCGACCAATCTTCGTCCTAAAATTTTCATCTCAATGCATAGACGAAATCTTCTCCATTATGTTAAAGGAACGATCTTTGATTGAAAACTTTTCATAATTCCGGAACTTCGTGTCTGTTGCAATTTGTGAGAATATTGAAGCTGGGTTTCTCCTATAAGCATTAACAATGTCATCAGCCCAAACACGTGATTTCAACTTTTCAAAATGTGCTTCAATTTATCTCAACTTCTGACGATGAATATCATCATTCCATGGATATATCGTATACTGCTAGATTTTCTTCAGCTTCGCACTGAATGACATGGGTTTAGTCACTAAGGATGGAATTCTAATTTAATACCTCAATTTGATAAGATAATCATCTAATTTGTCATTTGAAACATCACAGGATTTCTCCAGTTCACAAATCTATATACCGTATCTTGTTTTTTGATCTAGCAGCGAATTTGAAGCAGGCTTTTTTGGAATTCCGCGAATTCCATCATTTCATCGATTGTTCGGAAAAACGACGCTTTAAGTTTTTAAATTATTTCTTGGGTTATCATTAAGGAATATGCTTCAAAAAGCAATATTTTATCTTCTTTCGAGGCCAAATATGTGCTATTTTCTACTATAAAAGCCTCCCATGGAGCACTGACTCCTAATGATGGAAAATTCAACCCCAGGTAACAGGTAATTTATTAAAAAGAAAGCACCGACTTTTGCAATCAAAGTTGGGCGTGGTACATCAGGAAGAAGCAATTTGCGAGCAAGCGGACTTGAATAATTTCTAAGTAATAGCTCATCGAGAAATGTCACGACGAATATCGATTTTTCCCGCAAATTTCAATTGAAGAATGACTCTCTTTTGGAAATGGAAATGTTTCAGGGAATCATTTGTTTTCAGGGGATCAGCCGTTGGGGGAGAATATGAAGAAGTACTTGTAGAAATGCTTAATTTTCCAATAGAAAATACTTCGGCGAATTGGTCAAAGTACAGTAATTATTAATAATGGTAATCTGACTGCAGAGGTAAAGTATGCCGATTAAGTTATTGCCATTGAGCTTCCCTTATTTCTGATATGTTAGATGGAAAGGTGAAATCATGACTTCGATTTGCACATGCTGGAAACTCAAAAGCATTTGAATTACAGTACAGTCCTATGAAAAATTGGTGTACAGTAAATAAACAGATTATTATGATGCATCTTGAAATCAATCGACTCATCAGCTTTTGGTGATTCACCTCCATTAATAGACATCAGCAGAACGATCCGAAATGTTCTCCACGAAGTACTCAATTTACCTGAATAGACAACAATCTCCGTAAATATTTTCTTTATTCCCATCATCCTTTCAAACATTTCCTAAGATCATTTTAAAAATGCTCACGTGACCCTGAAACGTCAGCGTCAACAACGGGTGGATTTTTCGCCCCAGCTGGGAAGTGAAAAATGAAAAGAAAACCTTTCCGGACCATAAAAAAGAACAATTTTTCATTTATAATAATCAGGAATCATTTGCTCTGAAACGGCAGTCTCAACAATTTTTTTTAGGTGGACACGCACTTGGAAAACGTTTGGAGCCAAATTATACTCGTATTCATTGAAACACGCAATTTAAAAAATTTGAAATCATTCACCTTGTAAAGTCTACCTCGATGAAATTTTTTTTCGCTCATCAGGTTAGCTGAAGATACATTTTGAAACTGGGATATACTTTTTTTCAATCGGAAAATCAGGATTCATTATCTCTGAAGTATCAGTCTCAACAGCAAAATTGTCGTCCGATTGTTTGCTTGAACACATAATTTTTGAAGCAAGGAACACTTTTATTTAAAAAAAAAAAAAAAGTGGATTCATTCACCCCGAAGCTCCAGTCTCAGCAGCACGATTTTTCGTTCGGCTGGGTATTTGAAAATATACTTTCAAAACCAAAACGAACGTACAGTAAATTAATTGCTTTGTGAATCAAATCCAGGAATCAATTAGTGTACCTTGACACGCAAGACTCAACAGGCGCAATTTTTTCTGATGATCGAACGCATTTCACAAAGTTTCCATTAATGTTAGGCTAATGTAGAACTGAAACAGAATCCACCATTTCGAAACCGCTATACTTGCTCGAAGTTACGAATTAGAATTTCAATATTTATTAAGACGCCCTATGACGGGGCGTCTTAACGGGGTTCGACTAAAGAATAATTCGGAATAATTGTAACGCTGCTCTTATTTTTAATTTTCTGTTTATTTATTTTTTATTTCATTATTTTATATATCATTATTTATTTTAGTTAAATTTTTATTTTATTTCATTATTTATTTTATTTCATTATTTATTTTATTTCATTATTTATTTTATTTCATTATTTATTTTATTTCATTATTTATTTTATTTCATTATTTATTTTATTTTATTATTTATTTTATTTCATTATTTATTTTATTTCATTATTTATTTTATTTATTCATTTATTTTCATTATTTATTTATTATTTATTTTTTATTTTCATAATTAATTTTTTATTTCATTTTTTTTCATAATTTTTTTTTTTTTACTAAGGTGGCCGAATATGAGCAATGGAAGCGCAGACGGGGCTCTGAGTTGTTGCAGTTGTCAGCGCAACTGTATTGGCTGGAAAGCAACTTGCGGAAGGAGCAGCAGCGGTTGAAATGGTGCGTGGAGTCCAGGGACAGAACAATACACATGCAACACCGCACCATTCATCAGCTCACTCAGCAGCTGAAAGACAAGCCCGTCCGATCCTGTTCCTGTGTGCGGAACAACAACATCACCAACTCCCAAGGTTTGTGTCCATGCTGGTCTGCTGGTCGTCTCTTGGATTGTTTGCATGTGTAATAGAAAAGGGAGAAATAATGTGCAAGCAATTCATCCTATTGTTCCATTCTGTGATGGCAAAGTTTCCTCTCGGTTTTTTTTTTTTTTTTTTTTTTTCCAAACGAGAGTAGGGTATGCAATGTGGGGTAGCACTCTTTTTTTTCTTTTTTTCGAATTGCTCCAGGGAGGTTTTACTGGGATGAAGCACGTGTTTTTCTGTATGCTTTCTATAGGGGGAATGCTGACGTATTCTCTGGGAATTTGAGGCTATTTGGGTAGATTTGGTGATCCAATTTCATTAGCATAACTAGACTAGCGTCTCTTTGATTCTATTTTGTTCCTCCAAAAAATGCGTAGCTGTATTTTGAAGTTTAATTTCTTCTGTATTTTAAGCCTGCGTTTTTTCTTTTTTTCACTGTCAGATTGGAATGTGCGGGATTTTTTTTAAATTTTTAATCCCATTTTAAAAACACTGGACTGGTCCCAAGGTCATTTACTTAATTTCTTTGAAAAATCTATAAATTTATAAGCTTGGCTGTATTTTAATTCCACTCGAATGCGCGTCGAAATGACGAGGAACTTAAAAAGTTAAGTAAAATTTGAATGGACATTTTGCGATTTGTTAAGGTTTTGTTACTGAAAAATGCTGGAGTCCTGTGAAGAAGTTTAGAATCCATATTTTTTTAAACATTATAGGGGTCTCCATAATCAGAGAACCCCCTATGATAATTATATAATATTTCCCGAAATGTTTACTGGAATTTTATAAAAGCTGATAGTTTCGGAATGAGACGTGAGATATGAAGTTCATACGTATGTCCCTGAAATTCGGTTATTTTCGTTTTTTTTAAGCTTTATCTACTCAGAATAACATGATAAGTTCTAATATATTTCGACGACATTGTCTACAATAATGCTTGATTGGATTGTCATCTGATAGAGTAAACCTTGTTTTTAAATATCCACGGCAGTTTACTGCAATGTAGTTCGGTCCCCAGATATGCTAGTGACATCTACCAGAGGATCGAAGAACCATGTTGATATCATGTACTGTATCATTTTATCTGCCGTCATTGACAGTATTGTATTGTACATGCTAAAATTAGCATATCACAACAGTTTATGCACAACCTAGCCCTGTGACTTTCAAAAAGCAAAAATAGTTTATAATCGGTCTTTCAGATGTCGCTAGAGTAAGGTTTCTTTACAAAGCTGTAGGAGTTCCGCCTTTTTTTGGCATAGCACACTTAGACTTTGTTCGCTGTTTCAAATTTGATTACATTCTTCATCACAAAATTTCATTCCTTTTTCGTTTTTTTTTTCATGTTTTAGGGATGAACTCAGTACCAGGAAGTCCCCAGAACGAGGTGCTGGACCCCAAGTCCGTCGTGATCCTCGTCAGCGGCGTCGAAAAGTGCACCGACGACGATTCTGCTGTCGTGATGGATGACGACTGCGCCGATTGTTCGGCGCCGCCGCGAATGCCGACCTCGATCATGCGCAGTGTCAGCGACGCCCTCGAGTGCGCTTGCGTTCAAAACAGTGATTCCAGGCGCCATTCGTCGCCGGCCTACACTTTGGCCACGGCGGCGTCCCCTGCTGCGAGTAAGTACTATACCAGTACCTCGTCTTTTGTTACGCAAGTAAATTGTACAATGTATTCCAAAACAAGCCGCACTAATGACATTATTGGCCATTTTTTTTCCATTTGATTTCTGGCTCCCAGAATTTTTCTGGACGGCGAAAGAGTTAAATACTCAAGGTTAGGGCGGTTAATCTTGTGTTCTTTTTTATTACCTGTTGACGTTAGCTGAGATTCTACGCTTCAGTTCAGTACCATGTAGATCTTTTATCTTGAAAATTGGCGGAGTTACTGCACCTTTAGATTCCATGTATGGCATTGTGAATATTGCACAAGAATACTGACCATCATGCGTTCAAACCTTTTTTTTTTTATCCACGTTTTAATGTCATCAGTGGATTTCAACGCAAATGTTAGAAACTTCTACTGTAATCTCGAAAAAGATTTATTTTGACCTGAAATACTCGAATAGTTTCACATTGAACAAAAGAGAAAACAAGTTTTCATTTGTAATTACGTCTCGTGAGTACAAAATTTACCGAAAAGATCTTCATATACCAGTAATACCGATAGCAAGCTGTGTAACTGCCTTGAATTTTATTATTTTTGGAGTCTGGGAAAAGTAGTACGAATATAAACTTCAATCAACCAAATATCTGTTGAGACACAGTATTTACAGCAGCAGAGTTTTTGCAGTATTCCATAGGAATAGCAAAGAATTAAATGAATTTTTATTTGGAAAATTGTGGCCTAGTAGTTTTTGCAAAAAATAACATTCATAATTTCGTGATTGAATTTTTTTTTAATGGATAACGGAAGAAATGCTTAGGCAAGATTTTTATGAAACTCACACAAATTATGAGTGGAAGTCAGTCCGTTATACTCCGTTAAGAGTTCAATTTACTGTAGTGACTTTCGTTTTGAAGATACAGCAAATCGGATTATCTGAAGTATATTATGCACATTTTATCTGCACCACTATGGGCAATATTTAAGGAGAGAAGAAATCAATGCAAAAACAGGAAAATTCAAGAGACGGTATTGGAGTCATTTTCGAAAGTGGAAGCAATAAGGACGTAACAAATATAGACCTGCATTTTTTTTTAGAAGGAAGATACTGTACCTCTGAAAAACTTAATGCCTGTTTTCATAGTATGCTTCCCAAAACAAAAATAAATAAAAATTCTCGATGTGCAAAGGTTGAGATTTATGTGAGACTAACGCGGAAAGTGTCCGGAATTACCGGCACCCGCGATTTGCTAATAATTGCTCTGCTTCAAGAAAACGAGTGGCTCATTACGAAATAATGATAGAAAATTCCATGAAAATTGCTTTAAAGTCACGATTTCCCCTGGAAATGCCGCTGTTCACATATCGATGAAAGTGAAAGGAGTTTTTCTTCGGGAGTCCTTGACTTGTTCGTCACAGCTTCAATTTCGACCTGAAATCAGCATTAAAAAAACGATGAGGTTTTGATCTTGAAAACCTGCACAGCCTTGAGTTTTTTTTTCCATTTTTGTGGCATCTTAAAAATATTAAAAAGTATATACAGTATAAAAATTAGCTTTTGTAATGCAGAGACTTTTAATCAGGTCGGTCTTATAGTACAGTATATGGTATTTTTCCAACCAATTTAGCATTGCAGGAAGAATGAAACTCAAATCAGAATTCGAGAATGAAACTCAAATCAGAATTCGAGAATGAAACTCAAGTCAGAATTCGAGAATGAAACTCAAATCAGAATTCGAGAATGAAACTCAAATCAGAATTCATTTCGCTTTATTTTCAGAATTTAATAATTGGTAATTTCTTGACAGAAATGATCTTTGGAAGTATGTTGTTCTATTTCAGGGAACATAAAGCAGTTCTTGATGAATAAATGCTCTTCTTAGAGTTTTACACATGTATTTTCTGTTTAGGCCAGCTTATACTGTACTTCAGTTATACAGTATTGGTATAATTTTTAGAAAATTCAAGAAAGGGACAGTATAAAATAAGAGAATTGTTTCCATTTCTTGAATTTTCTCCATTATTTCATCAAAATAAGGTATTAATTTTGGCAAGTCTTCACACATCTGTTTAAAGTACTTCAAAGCCCCAAAAGCCTGTTGCCTCCAAAATGTCAGTCGAATACTAGCTGAAAGAACCATGAATCTTCAGCAACTTTTTTCTCAGGTCCCTGGGAGTTTGTTGAAAAAAAAAATCCTATTGTAGTGTTTTAATTCAACTGAAACTACACTGTGCACTGTAATGGATAAATTTTGGTTTTATTGTATTCTGAAATGTTGAAGTTTGGGTTTCAGAAATGATTCTGATTGAAATACAGCTAGAGCCTGATATACAGTATATCCGGATGCCTTGACGCATGGACAATTTGACTTGGGGACACTCAAAACTCTAAAAAAATCTGCCTCAACATCCAGACAATGCTTGACATAAGGACCCTCTTCCAAAATTTCCAGGAGAATAAAAATATTTAATCTTCAAAATATTAATATTGTAAACAAATTAGGCTTTCCATCTTCTCAAAAGTTAAAATTAATTCCATTAAAAATTCAGTCAAATTTAAAATTGAAAACGGCTTAATGTTGTGCATTCTTGTTGTACTCTTCGTAATCTGTAAACAATATAGGAAGCCCTGCACTTTTTCCTTCCTTTTTTTTTGGGTCCCTTTGATGCCGAACGATTACATTATACTGTATGTGGTTTTCTTCTGAAGAGTTAAATTCTCCGTGTTTAAGTTGAGCAACACCTTCCATTCAATTTATGGTGGGATTTATTCCTGATTTCTGATGAACTAGAGAACCAGCATTTAATTAAGTTCCTGTTGAAGTCAAAGGGAAAATGCAGATGACCTGACATGTAGGGACAAGGTTCAAGTAGCCCCAATGAACAACACATCTCGGGGGTCTCACTGTGAATTAAAATGTCCCCCCTTTGTTCCACTTTTCTTTTTAGCCTCACTTCCTGTGCGACGAGGTTCGCTCAAGCACAACATGGACCATCCGTTCAACAGCTACCTGCGTAAACCGGAAGTGCTGGAGACTGTGTACAGTGTGGACGAGGAATCCGAGGATGTGGATGCTCATGCGGCCAACAAGGTGTCGCCCTCGGGCTGCAGTGGCGGCGGCATCTCGTTCGAATTGCCCCGAAGCGAGTCTTGCGAATTCAACAAAAGCTTCTCTGTTGTCAGCAGAACGCATTCCTCACCGGCCGTCGCTTTGATGAACCGTCTTCGCCCCAAAAAGTGAGGATCTTTTGGGATTACAGAGTGGCAGGGATAATTCGAACATCCCCGAGTCAACATTTTAATCTATAGTCACCTCTGGATTTCTTTGAAAACAAAGCGTTAGAAACCTCACTAACTTCAAGGCTTTCCCATCAAACCTCAATAAGTGGAATTTTCTGGAGGCGTTAAAGCTATTTATTTTATTGACAAAGGTAAGAGAAGAGCAATAAAAAATTTTAATTGGTGAGCTTTGAGAGGAAGTAAAACTAATTGAGCAATATATCCGTGCATCCAAGGTCAGCATCCTTTCAACTCACTTCATGAAGCAATTCAAGGCCAAAAATATCACCAATTGTAATTTCATGCCAATATTATGCATTTCCAAAATGCAAAAATGCTTGTTTTCCTACCTCAAAATTTTCGTAAGACGAATTTTTTCGCAGATGCTTTGAAATTTGACTGAGAGAGGTTTTTCAAAATACTTGAGGAAGCAAATGAAAGCTTTGTTAACTTCTGTTCCTGGACAAAAACCGTCATCGAATATTTGAAATTTGGCAAAGAGACGGAAATTTAGGGTACAATGTTTGATGATGCTGTCTGAAAAAAGCGCTGTTTTGCGGCGTTTTAATTGCTGAACTGCTCAGTTTGTTTCTTTGGTACAACATTTTCAAAAAAAATTCCATTTTGAGGTGAAATTCATCTTTATGTGTGTGCATTTCTCTAGGATTTGAAGCTTTTGAATTTTGTTTCATTAAAAATGGTTTTATCAAACCCTAGATAAGTGTCCTAGACACACACTGAAGCAATTCATTCATTTGATGATTTAGAATTTATTTTCGATTAAATTTCAACTTGTATTTTGGGTGCTGGCAATGGATTAATATATTTCCCAATACAGTCGATGGAAAAGTCGTATTCAATTGACAAATTTTTTAGTTTGCTAACTGTTGTCTGGAACCAAGTAAGTTAGTTAATTAGGAGTCCACTACACGTGTTTCTTTTCTGTGCTTAATTCTAATTTCTGTTCATGTTTCACATACATGCTGAATTTTGCAGTATTCTTGCTTAAACCTATTTAGATTCTGAGTTTTTTTTAGAATTTTAATTGATATCCATTTCCAAAGGAAGCTTATTGTGTGTGAATCTGAGATGATTCGCCAAATGAAATTCGCGCGTCAAACTGTTCCTTAGTCAACTTTCGGCGCATTGACTTGGTTACATTTCGTTGCAAATTTTTTTCATCCCAATTTCTAATCTTAAAATTACTATAATAAGATATAAAAACCCTCGCTTCTTCTTTTTTCTTCAGATATTTCGGAAGTTGTGATAATGTCGCCCTGGCCATGAAGAACGAGCGCATGTCGTCCTACAAACCCAAGTCAATGGAGAACCTCATGAACGCCGTAGAGTTGCCAACTGCGTCGGACGACTGCCTCTTGTACCGCTACGAAGTGTTCGATCGTTTCGCCACCACGCCGCCACCGCCGCCACTGCTGGACGCCGACCCCGACGCCGCCCTGGACGCGGACGCCAGGAAATACTCGCGACGCCAATCCAAGTCGGCTGCTGTCCCGGTCATCAAGAACAACCACAAAAACGTGACTCGTCCCAGAGACTTGAAAGCCAAACGAGCCAACAATGCTGGCAACAATAACAACAACAACAATAATAATACCACTGGCAATATCGGTCCTTCCAAAAGGTCCAAGTCCGTGGAGGAACTGAGGTTCAAGTTCTGGGACTGGATGGGTCTACGGCGCAACAGACAATCTTGATTTCCCCCCACCATTTGCTTCATTCAAATCAAATTTAGCAAAGGGATTGTTTTTCATGTTATAATTTAAAAAAAATTCAGTGTTACATTTTGATGGTTTAAAAAAAAAACATTTCGCCTCTGATGAGCTAATGAAACTCTTTTTTTTTAAAGCAATCTCAGATTTTTAAGGGATGCATAACTGAGAACTAAACAAACAGAATCTCGAAAGAATTTCGTGGAACCTAATTTTCCACTTTAAAGTTGATTGAGTCTTTTCCCGTTTTCCAAGTTCTCTCGCTTTTGGGTCCATTTGGTTTTGAGAAGAAAACAATTCAAAAGGCCTAGTTTGAATGAGTATCTTGCCAATAAAAACTGGGAGTTTTTTTATGATTCATGTGAGTCATCAATGAAGTTTAATTGCAAGTGGATGAAACCAGGGGTCACTTTCTAATTTCTTTCTATGTGAGCGAAAATTTCAGTTCATTGAAAATTCGGATACCGTAGAACTGATTTAAAAGGCATCTAATGTTGAAAAACCGTTGAAAACTAAAATTATTTCATTTTGAATCAAATAAAATGTTTGCCACCGTGATTCTCAAGGAAAAAATCTTCAAAGAATAACATGTTTTTTCCTTGAAGAATGTTTAAACGTCGCGGAAGGAAAGTGATACAAATTATATTCAAATTAAAAATTGTTTTAAACTTACAATTTTATTCGAAAGCTTCGACGGACCTGTTGAAAAGTGCGATACGCTTCGTGTGCGGTCTATAGAACGACAAAAATACTTCGTTTGTAATCAAATAATGCCGATATGATTTTGGGAAATTTTTGATTGGACCCGTGAAAAGAAACGAGGTTCAGCATTTTGTGATGTTGAAATTTCTTTCGTCGGATTCCATTGGAAGGCTTTTGAGCTTAATGTCGAATCCTTTGCGTAATTGGTCGATGTTTTTTTGAGAAATTTTGCTTCCGATTTTTTTTTTTTTTTTTTTTTTTTAATCTTGGCTGAAGGGAGAAGTTGGGAGGAAAATCCAAAACCCAGCATTTAGCTGATGATGCTCCTCTTCTATTGCTTGTTGGTCGAGAGAAATGTTTCCTCTCGAAAGAGATTTTAACGAAGTGATTTCTTTTTATTTTATTTCCTGTGGGTTCGACCCGACAGCTGTTCGGTCGGAATGTACTCATGTGCCCTGTGTCAATAAATTCGGAATCCAACTACATGTTTTTCTTTAACGTACTCAATTTGACGAAAAATTTTAGGCACAACCACAGAAAAATTGAGGTTCGGAGTGATCATGAGAGTCTGTTATTTTGCCTGATGCAGTACGTAAAACGTCATAAAAATTCATTACTTGCAGAAATTATAGGGGCTTGGCCAGAGATCCACGCCATTCCAGAATACCTGCGTAAAACACATTAAATTCCATCGTAAAATGCTTCGTATGAAATAATTTCTATCCATATAATCTTCCATCAACTTTATTTCACTCCTTTTTCTTGATCACAAATATATATGCCACGCCTTCAAGTGATCGCGGCCAATGCACAATTATTTAGAAAATATGCTACAACATAGTTTTGCAATGCATTTTTTGAAAGAAAGACGCCGTTTATTCCTGTGGATACAAAGAACAGCGGAACACTATTTATTTTCTTCGAAAAGGCCAAGTTTTTGCCACATCGACGCATAATTTCAGCGATTCGGACTTCAACACGTTCGCTCGTTAAGTGGAAACCTTGCAAACTATCACGCGTCTCTTGCTTCCATATAGTAAATAAAGTATTAAAAAAAATTTCTTGATCGCAGAATTCGAGTGAAAACACATTCAGTTAGTTCTGTAAAGAAAGGGCCGAAACAACTCGAAGAATGTGCACCAAAAGTGAAACCTGGATATTCTTGTTCGTATCGACAATTGTCTGTGCGAGAACTGTAAACAGTCGTAGCAACTTCGAATATTATGTGGCGGAAGGCGGAACTGAGCTTGTCAGATTCGTGCCAAACGGAATGTGTGAGATTTTCGGAGCAAAGTGAGAAACTTTGTTTTTATTCTCAAATTAAAATTTGAATGCTGAAATCCAATTGGGATTATTCATTGTATAAACACGGATAGATCTAACTTTCCAATTTCTTTGTTTCATAACGACTTGCATAACCCTTCTTGACTGCTGTCATTTCAATTTGTAGAATTGGAATTATCCATTGTTTGTATGAGGACTAAGGACAGATAGAACCTTCTTTCCAATTTTTGTTTCATAAAAATTTGCATAGCTGTTGCAGATTTTAAGCTGCATTCAAAACATTTCAGATGCAAGAGACATCTGAGTGCTGAGGCAGTTACCCAGCCTCCAAGGGAATTTAATTTTAAAAGTAAAAAACTACATTATGGCTGCAGAAAATAATAAGAGAAGCTGGAGTATCCTCACTCCTTGGATGTTGAAAGAGGACTCTATAATTGTCTCAGATCACAGGTTTCATGAAGACAACAATCACACAATCAGCAAATACAATCTTGCATTGTGCAATAGAAACTTGCTTTCAAAAGGAAATAAAATCAGCAAAGAAAAGATGCTTTACCTAAGGCGCAATTCCCAATGCACAAACTTCTGAAGCAAATAACTCCGCGAATTTTACACTTGGAAAATTTTGCAACATTTTAAATTGAAACTAAAGATGTTCTTCAACTTTTCTTTATCACATAAAAATTGACCAAATTCACGAATCTTGAGATATTCTCACTTTTCTAAACCTAATTTTTTTGGTGATAAGAATCTGGAAAACCTTCATGCCAGATTGTCATCTCACTGATGCACAAGCTTTTGGTGCAAACAGTGACTTCAAAAGCCTTGTTTCTAAATGTAGATGACTGAATTTATTTCTGCAACACATAGCCCTTCTCAACTGCCGTGATTTCAATTTGTAGAATTAGCCTACGATGTAGAATTCTATTTTATTTGTAGAATTAGAAGTGCATTGAAAATCAGCGTTAATACACAGCAACTAAAATTTCAAGGAACACGAAAGATACAGCAGTTCAAAATTAATTAATTGCAATACCGGATAAGGTTTTTTTCTTCCTAGAATTTAAGGTTTTTTTTCAGCGAGCCACGCGAAAAATGTTGACGCATTTTTAGAATTGAGAGAGTGAGGGTCTTTGGGGGGGGGGGGGGTTGTATAGCGGTAGGATTTTTGCGCCTGATGGGCATTAGAAATGCAATACTTTTCTTGAATTTCCCAGACACAATTTCGGAGGTATTTTAAACTGGGAGCCGGTTTATTTTAAAGTTTCGGCTGCTGTAAGCCTTTTTTTTCACAGACCAAAAATTCTCACCTAGATTCCATGTATGCGGAAAGAAACTCCCAAAATAGAGACGTTTGTGGGTTAGCTTGTTTGGGATCCTCTTAACGATATTGATGAGCTGTTGTTTCCTCTTTTCTTTGTGGTGTTCTTTGAAGGAATGTCATCGATTTGGTGCTGATGCACGCGGACAAATCCGAGGTAAGGATCTTGCCCAGGGATTCTTTCGTGATCCCCCTGCGGAACTGCACAGCGCAGCAACTCCAAGGGATCACCGACTATTCCCATTTCCCCAGCGACTTTCCTTACACAATATTTCCAGGTATTCGTGAAAATATTTTTTATATTTCGCGTTCTTTTCGAGAGATTTTTTTTAAACCTGCTCCACAATGTATGTTGCAATAACGAACGATCAATCCAAATTCTTTGAATTTGTTCTTTCAAAACTTAAGCTTTTTCTCATCGTTTTATTTGATTGATTTATATACATGCTTTATTATTTGACACTTGTCAGCATTCACAAAGCTCAAAAAATGTTTTTCACATCCCGTACCCCCCACACAACAATTCATGCAGACGCATCCCGGCATATCAAAATTAAAAATTAATCACATGGGCATTAAAATGAAATACATCACAGTACTTAAAAATGCGTGAGTTGCCATGTTTCTTGGATGAAAAAAAAACAGTACACGCCAATGAATTACTGAAAAAAATTTAAGCATACGGTTTTCAGCTGGTTTGAAAATAATTTTTAAACTTTTTTTTTACCAATTTTGAGAGAATCTTTGAAAAGAAAGCATACAAAGCTAACAGTTTTTTCCTGGTTATCTAAGATTTGGGAATGATTTAAATTATTATCTAAAAATACATCAACAATAAAATGTATATTGTCATGATATATGTTGAATAATTCCATTGATTCAATATTCAGGTCTATAGGTATTTGTGCTGATCGGTTTTCAGCATGTTTCCCAATCGTGAAAAATTTTATATATTTAGTTGCGTTCGTTCAATTTTCATTTGAGACTTCCTTTTGTTCACAAGTCTGAGGGAGTCGAAAACAAGATTATATCTGCAAAGCGTTGAAGCTTTCAAATATAAAAGGCGGCAATAAATTTAAGCCTCGATTTTTAATAGCTAATTTCGATCTGAGAAAAATCTTAGGCTCAGATAAAAAAAATATATTACAAGAATCCTTGGGTTCAACATGACGCAAAGCACGAGATAAATTTCATGCGTATTTTTTCGTTAGGAATTCTTTTCGCAAAAAAATTGTTCTCGGACATTCTTTGAAGTTTATCTTGATTTTGCATCCGTCGGACTCTGCTAACCTTTTCCGGTAAAATCGATTTATGTTTGAGCAGTTAATCGATATGTCTTTCATCCTTTTAAATCATCACTCGTTATTGAGAAATACATATGACAAAATTGGCAGGAACGAAGTGGTGTGGAGAGGGAAACGTGGCTGAGAATTTTTATGACCTGGGCCACTTCAACGAATTGGACAAGTGCTGTCGTGAGCATGATTTTTGCGCAGATTACATCAACCCACGATCGACCCGAAGAATATACGACGATCTACTCAACATTGATGTCGTTGCCACCGGGTGAGTTAAGTCAGTGTTCCCCAACCTTTTTATGCCGGCGGACCGGCAAATAAAAAAATAATTGCGGACCGGCCAATTCCCAAAACATTTTCTGCGGACCGGTGAAGTTTCATAAATTGTTGCTGACACACCAAAGTTTTGCTTGCATTTTATTGAACAGGTATTTACAAGAAAATTCAGCTAAGAATGCCATCAAACAATTGGAAAAGTGGGCTTGGAGAAATATTCCTCAGAATAAAAAATTAAAATTATTTATTTCCGCAGATGAAAAATTGTCTGAAGTGCTATATTTTAGGAGAAAAGCCAACTTCTGTTTCCATCAGATAATTCCACTGTCCTTCCAATATTTTGGGTATAGGGAATAGACTTCATCCCCTCTTTTGATAAATTACTTACATATGCTGGAAATTTCCCGCGGACCGGCAAAAAACTTCTGCGGACCGGCGCTGGTCCGCGGACAAACGGGTTGGCAAACACTGAGTTAAGAAATTTTGAAAAGTTTGAATAAATCTATCGTGAATATGTTCCACGAAAACGAGACAAATTTTATTTCCTTATAGGTACCACTGTGACTGCGATAATCGTTTTATGAACTGCCTGAAACACGCTGAGGCGCCGGAAGCTGATATGTTCGGCGTAGAATATTTCACCCATCGAAGGAAACGATGCTTTAAACTTGAATATCCCGAAAGCACCTGCTTGCAATGGGATGGATTGTGAGTCTTGATTCAAGTTTGGTTCATTGAAACAATTTTATTTGAAAATTTTTGCTTTTTTTGTCTCCTCAAGGCCGATCTGGGGAACGTGTCGCAAGTATGAGTTGAATTACTGGTACAACGAACGCTTCTGGCAGTTCTTTGGGAACGAAGTTTACGTGTTGGATGAACACTGGACCTTCAAATAGAGCAACTGATTATCCCAGAAACAGTAAAAAAAAAAGACTCAAACAATATACACGAGAAAATCAGCATGTATTCACAAATATTGTGTGAAATATTTTTGATTTTTGCGCTTCAATGATCGCATCGGTGCAAAACGTTACTAATACGCAGTACGAACTTTTAAATCTATTTGATTCCTCATTTTGAACTTTTGGAAATTAAATTTTTGAATTATTTTTGCGCGGTTATATAGATGATGTAACCGGAAGTCATGCTTTTTCTGCTGAATCCCCGCAACTTTCAATAATATAATTGGATTATTTTACACCAAAATGAGCTCTGTGATTAAATAGCACGGAAAGGTTATAGTTGGATTCAATTTGAAATAAAATAAAAATCAGCAGTTATCTACTTCCTGAAGATTCGACGTAAACTAAATATGTAGTAATAATTACATGGATCTAATTGACAATCATACACGATCACAAAACAAGAAAAATAATCTTTGCTGCCATTGAAAGTTCCAAGAACGATGTTTTATATAATTTATTCCGATTTGAATGCCTAAAAGTGCTTTCAATGATCGATGTACATTCTTCAATTGGAAAAGAAAATTCAAATTTGAATTCCACAGTGACGATAACATTCGTGCTTGATTTGTTCGTATGATGAACATCAGAGTCTACGATTGGCGATCCCAAAAATATCCTCGTGGTAACGATTTTCATCCTTAAAATCAAGTGGAAAACGTTGCTTAATGTTTTGTCGAGCTTGACTTTCGGGAATAAAAGTCTGATCAATCACCTTCATTTGTTGAAAATAACCTCTCGCTTCTGTTTTCGACATTTGACCCTGATGCCTGAAGATTTTTTGCAGCGTCTTTCGGACGTCTTCTGCCATTGCGAATCCTCCGCATACGAAAATATGCCCAGAGCCTTCGCAGATACTCGCGAAAACTTTTGTAGCATTCTTCTTCAGCAAATTCTGGACGTATTTCTGAAAAATACACGAAACAGTATATTCAGATTCTACAGCGAGTACTGCAGTGATTTCTTTCAGTACTTTTTGCTCGCCAGGTTCACGAGACAAAGCCAAGTGATACTCTGCTAAAATCGACGAGGATTTCATCAAATCTGCGACTTCTTCTTGGTACAACGCGGACCGTTTTGAACGGCATCCGAAATAGAGGTTCATGGGACCAAAGTCTGATGAGGTAGTAGCTCCTGAAATTAAAAATTTGCTTCAATCGGATCGACTTCCCCCGGAATGAATCGACAAAGTGAATTTGTACTTGTTGAAGATGCAAATTCGGCTTGTCTCTGTTGCCAGAAACTTCTGAATGGTGCAATTCCTGTCCCGGAGCCTATCATGATGATCGGTGTTTTTCGATCGATCGGCAATTTAAATCCTGGGGCTCTGTTAAATGGAAAAAAAACAATCGACAAGAAAAATGATGAATTCTGCAGGACGTAAAAAACACTGAAGAAGATGTGAATGGAGTATTTAAAGACCAGGAGGATTTATACGCCAATAGAGTCCTAAATATGCCAACTGAACGCTTGCGAAATAGCGTCGAAAGCATCTCTAAGTTATTTTGAGACGGTTGAACGCCAAGGAAACTTGAGCATAAAACTTGTTCATACTCTCAAATACTGTACAATATTCATGGACAGTAATCCCACGCTGTTCTCTACACGTTTAATCTGGAAATAATGATGAAATTTCCCAGCCGAAGACAATTTAAAAGTTGTTGCATTTGGGCACACTTGCGCGTGATTGATATTATACGTTCTTCACGAATTCAGGCTGTGTTATATCATTAAATTATACCTTCGAATGTTGAATTTCAGCTTTTATACTTACGAGCGGATGAAAGCAGGGATGATTTTGCCGACCGATGCATTTTTCAGGAAATTCGAACAAACTCCAAAACGAACCAACCCGTTGTCTTCAGTCGCATCCAAGAAATTTTCATGAATAAATTTAATATTAGATTGAAAATAACTTTCTTACCTTCTTTTTTGTACTGAACAATCCCGACAGTCAAGTGTACTTCTCCGGGATGAACATTTTGAGACGAAGAAATTGAGTAAAATCTTGGTTGTAAATTTGGCAACATTTTTATGACCAATGAAGCAGGTGGCTTCACTGAAGTGAATTCTTCCAACACTTCCAACAAATTCGGATTTTTCCCGTTTCGCCAATTTTCGTACTGAATTTCATCCTGTGATTTAAAAAAAAAAAGCCATATCATACGTTTTAGAAGGCTCCACTTTGATTGTCATCGAAGAACATTTCGAAGTGCCATGTAAAAAAATTCGGAAACCCGAGATGAATTTATACCTTTGATAGAATTTCTAATCGGGCTTTTTCTTCGGCATTGCTTGAAAATTTCGCCAAAATCGCTAGAAAATCCTGATTTGGTGGAGTCGTGATGTCTTTGTAACACGTGAGAAAAGTTTTCACTGATGACCGCGGAAGTCCTGAAACACGTTTCCAGCTTTCGGATTCATCATTCGCACCTATATAGATGTTTTCGACACATGAAAAATAGAAAAAATCACCTCAATCTTCAAAGAATTAAGTTTTATCAGAAATTAATCTACTGCATCCAGTTTTCAGTCCACTCCAGAGGCCGCGAAAACTCTCGGAACCTTTGATTTAAAAGTTGAGGACGACTTCATGATCGGGTTTGCATTTTCTAAACAGTAGCTGTGAGCAATGTTTTCTTCATTTGTGCAATATATGAGATTATCAACGATTTTTTCGTTTTCTGCTTAAAGGTTTATCATCAGCAAGGTTTTATTTAGTCTTCACAACTGATTTTAGCGAAAATAATTCGCTGAGAATTATAGCTCACCAAAACTCGAATGCTTTGTCTTTTGCATTTCCATCAGTTCAAAAGGCGTTTCTGGACTCGGGCAATCGTCCAAAAATGGTATGATTCCATTTACGAGGAATTTCTGGTTTTTTGGATAAACTGCGATGTGATCTCCAGGTTTGTAATTCATGGCTCCCTGAATTTGTCCCGTGGCCAGTCGCACAAAAATCGTTCCATTCCTTCCGTTGTTTACGTGGAAAACAAATTTCAGCAATAATTTTCATCTTCAAATACAAGTTTAATACAGCTATTCAAAATACGCACTCATCTGCTGTCATATTGCATAAATGTTTGATCTCCAGTAACTTGCATGGCACGATCTTCTTTTCGTGTAAATGTGAGAGTGCTGCGAAATCAAGTTCAATAATTGCTGAAATCTCAACGTTTGAATCGTCTTTTTTTTAATTATAAGATTAAAGACAAAATATCAAATTCGGCTGAAGCCTTCGATAATAACATTTTAAAAATCATTCAATACCCGAAATAAGGTCGTCTTCTCTGTCAGTCGACTGAAAACGGAGCTTCTTTGGATCCAAGACGGCTTCATTGGAACCGTTCAAGGAATGTAATATTTCTGCTCCAAGTGAAGTCTTGAGGTGAAACTCTTTGATTACTGCCTGTCGAAGAAAATCAAAACATGATAAAATCAAGAATTTTTTGCATTAGACACAATATTTTACATCCCTCACGAATTTCAGTGTTCGTATGTCTCCTCAACTACAGGGCGAAGTTCAAATTCTTTGTGAATAATGTACTGCATCATATATTGAATAAAGTCACTTTGATGCCTGAGTTTTCAATAAGAAAAATCTAAATGCAATATCTGATCAATACAGAAACTTGACTCAATCCCTTATTCCTTTTTTTAAATTGATGATCCTATGCAAACAGTAATTAGCACTGAAACAAGGAAAATTCAAAAGAACGAGACTCACTAAGTAAATTTCTTTCATCCATGAATAAAATGCCTTTTCCTGTCCCTTTAACTCATCACCGAGACCGATTTCATGTAATCTGTGTGCTCCAAGACTTCCGAGGCTGTGGTCAAGAAACTTGCCGAAAGCAGCAAAGTTCGGGTATGCGGTTGAACCCACGCCAAAAACAGCAAACCTGCAAACAATTGAACCAGACTAAGGTCAAAACTTGCTTCATACTGCAAGAATTTTAAAAAATTGAAACTTTGCAGTGTATTATCAAATAATTCAAGTCACCGAAGGTTTGACCAGAGCTCTTCGCGATTGTTGTTGGCATCCCGTGAACAAGTCGCTTGCCGGAGTTTTTTCGCAAATGCCTAATAAGAAAACATTACTTCTAGAGTTCTATTGAAATGGAAAAAAATATGTCTTTCGAAATTGACCTTTCCATTTTCTGGTGGATCTCCGTTGCCAAATGTCGAAGACACCAAGATGACAAGAGTTTCACGTTTGAGTTCTTCAAAATCATAAGCAGCCATTTCCATAGTCTGAAAAATGCATATTCTTCTGTAAGATCCGATCAATTATCGGACTAATATTTTTCTATTTTAATCAACTTACTCGAATTCGAAATTCGTGACTGAAAAGTCCAGTGAGGACATTTGCGAGTTTCGCTGATTTTCCAGTCTCAGTCGCGAACAAAATTGTTAAAGGTATGCGCACTTTCAGCGCAGTGGCAAATAAAGACGATGTGAATCTTGCAGACCTATATAAAATTGTTTCTGAATTTATTTAAACACCGAGTCGAAGAAAGGATTATACTATCTAAAAGCAGAAGAAATTGTTGGATAAAACAGACCATGCAACTGCCTTGAAGCTTCTTTTTTTTGTTGAACCATTTGCTTGCGAATGTTTCCACTGGTACACACACCAAGCTGGAGCCTGAAAAGGTTTTTTTTTCGGATGTTGATCTTTAAATATCCTATTTGATATCAATTTTCTTGAAATTTTATCTCATCCGTATTGGGATTTCAAAATTTTTGCTATGCTCAGGTAAAAAACCTAAAAATCACTACCGTTACTTCGTATATCTTGAAGAAAAGATTAAACTCTTGCATACTTGACGTCAATTGTTTTTTTTTCAATTTTCCACTATCCTATTCAAACAAATTTGGAATGTAAGTTATGACGCACCTCAATTTTCAAATAAAAAAAGGAAAACACATACCGTACGTTTTTCTAAATTTAAGATGCACTTTCATTGCGTCGATGGTATTTATCAAAATCAAATTTTGAATACTATATTGCTGCAGTCACAACTCACAAGTTGAAGCTACTAAAAAAAATCGGAAATACACCAGGCTTTCAACTATAATACAGTACCGTATTTTCAAACGGATACATTATTGCGGATTCGTTTATTCGAAATTCGGACCTGATTTATATTCAAAAGATTGATTGGACGCTAAAAAATAAAATGCTATCAAAAATTGGATACCATCAGCTATGTAAGACGCAACCTTATTTCAAAGCCAATTTTTTTACACAAAAAGTGTGTCGTGCATTCGAGCAAATCCGATATTGATTCAAAATAAAAGAGCCTTTTCACTCGGGTATTGCAAGAAATATTCCTTTATGCTTGTGAAAACTTTTTAAAAGTCAATGATAAATTATTAAGTCTTAAGCCATCTTACAGACGGGGTTTGGATCATCAGTTTTTATAACTCATAGTATTCTCGCTAATAAGAGCTCGGTATTTTGTGTGTTCGCACCTGGTATTCGTAAGAGGGTTTCAGGTGATACATGACCATTTCTTGATGATATACAGGTGTAAGTGATCCCGACATTGGTGGAACAATCCAAACCCAGTCAGCAGGGCAACCGCGTCTTAAGCGGTTTTCGTTTTCCAGGTGCTTCATGAATGATTCCGCCGCTGTGTAATGATCAACAATCGTCACTCCGCTTTCCTGTAAATATTTGAAAGATTTTAAATATGTGTTTCACGTTGGTCTAGAAAACAATACACAAAACGAAGCATTATCAAATCATTGTAAAGAAGTGATCCGTGCAGTGGTTCGAGCTGACAGGAAATGAAGCGCAGTCGCGGTATAGAATAGTGTAATTTTATTATTTCAGATGATGCGAAAATAAACTCGAATTCTTTGTTTTAATTACTGTACGTACTATTATGCTGTAGGCCAATAATTTCTGGCTATTACCTGAAAGCTGTGCATGACAGCAACATTCACTTCAACAGCAACTCGATCTTTCCAGAAATTCGACGGATTGGTGACGTCAAGGCCCATTTTCTCGCCAATCGTCTAAAAAATCATCATGAAATCTCAATCGCAGTAATTCCAAGTACACCAATGCACTATAGTGATGAATATATAGCAGATTTTTCCGATTTCCCCGAGAGAACAAGTCGATAGTGACAATCTTCATGCGAATATTTTCTTCACAGCACTTCTGATGCTAGAATTCATGTCATTCTTTTCTGATGCATTCGACCCATTTTAAATTGCGTTAAGATCTGTGCAGAGAAAATTTTTCCTGAAAACGATAAAAGAAAAGTCGGTGTTGTTCATGAGAAGAAATCAAAACCGTGATTTTCCGGTTATAAATTTGACAATTCTTACAATATGCAGCATTTTTCTTTGAAACTTCAAACGCAAAAAAAATGTAAGTATATCTTCCACTGACTTTCGAAATTGCGAATGCTCATCTCACGTTTTGGTGTGTTTGCTGAATATTTGCATCGGAATTCCCTTTTTTGCGCCATTACAATAATTCAGACTTCATTTGCAACTTTAATATAGTTCAGGATATTACGTGAAAATAAGAGCATGCTGAATTTTAGTCGGAGGGCTTTTAACACTTGGATGGTAGCAAAGCTTAATTTTCATGTTCCCCGAAATTTTGGAATTTTCTATAGTCGCATATTTTTTTCATCTGTGGAGCATGGTAAAAAAAAATTGTCGCTCAAATGTATTCCGTTCGCACTGTTGTAGCGATTTTCAGAGAATTGTTCTGAATACTTACATGCTTTTTTGCAATTTTCTCTCTCGTACCTTGAGCAAATTGTATCGCTGGGGATCGCACAAATCCCGAATTGCAATTTCCGTGGACATGTACCAGCCATTAAATGGAGCTGCAGGAAACTCGATCCCGCCGCAGTCAAATAACATGTTCGACACACCCGGAAGTGCGTACCACTCGATGCCCAAGGAAGTAAACCACTCGAACCTGCTCAGTTCCGGGGGGAAGATCGGACAGATAAACGCTTTACAAAAATGGAAATAAAAAGCCGGTATTTACTCTGGGTGGGAAATCCGAACAGTCTTGACCAGTTCCGGAGGGATGACGAAATATTCTGGTTCGTGTCCTGGACACGAGAAAACCAGAGGCAAGATGTCGAACCATCCTCCTTTTCCCTTCCATCCTAGTTTTTGGCACACCTCGAAAAAGCAACAGCAGTGAATTCGTCTTTAATTTATGTGAAAACGTGTTTCTTATAGAGCCCGAAAATTTTTTTTATGATTTTCGAACATTGATTTTTCCGGATCGGTTCGAAGCGTCCAATTAAAAATAAAATTAAAATGAAAGCGCATTCAATCCTCTTTTCAAAGAAGTTTAACAAATTTTATTCTCTGACGACGTTTTTCCCTCCTATTTTGTACGAATTGCAAAGGTTTGTAGAAGTACCATGGGTCAAAGAAATAATAAAAACAACCTAATGGCGGAGAAAATTAATTTTGCATGATTATTTCAATGTAAAGTGTTATGAAATAATTTTGAAATTGATAAAATAAATTTTTAATGGACCGAAGTCACCTCAATAAAAAAATTTTATTCCTGTGTAACGAGCTCAATTCTACAAGGAATTGTAATAATTGAATGATAAACGAAAATGAGATTTTGAAAATGAAGGGGACCTTTACTAACTTGGGTGAATTCCACGTTCACAGGGTCTCCAATTATGGTTCCGTCGGTCTTCGTGTATCCGGCGAAGGAAAATATTTGATTGTTCCACATTCTGAAATCATCTCTCGCGGCAATTCGAGGGGGAAATACTGTTATGGCTGATCTGCGAAGGTAATCAAATTTTTTGCACTCAAATACTGGCTTGTTTAAAAAAAATCCTTGAGAATACTCGTACCGAATATTACCGTCGTTCATTCCATATTTGACGTGATTGAGAAGAGCCTCGAACATCTGAGATGGTGTCTTAACGTGTCGGTAGTCGAAAAGCTGAATAAATTTGCATGAGATGATTTATTGTTTTAAAATGTTTCCACTGCGTTTTATTTTTCAGAAACGATGAATTAACCTTGAGTTTTGACCATTGGATCCGACCGATGCATCGAGCTGCGTTACGCCAAGCCAACTTTGCGCCAAACTCCAATTCTGCCTCGGTCAAATCATAGAACCCATGGTTTTTTATGTCGATCTGAACTTGAATTTTTCTGTTTTCATTATCTTTTCCATCAGGGCTACGAAACAAAAAAGAATCATGTCTTAACATAGGAAAGTACATTTTAGAAATTTTTTCACACGGCGGAGAAAACCTCTTTTCGCTTGCGAAATATTCGTCCAGAAATTTTATCGCTTCTTGAAGCATGTCAGCTTTCGATTTCGAGTTGCTCACTGCAGATGATATTGGCACATAAGATTTCATCAGACTTCCTTCACAGACTCCTCCCTGACACGGATTTTTTGCCTAAAATAAACACACTCTGCAAACCATGACTATTCTTTAATTAAATTGCGAGAAATCCATACCTCAGAAACTACGTGTAGTACATCGTCCAATTGCGAAAAATCGCTCCAGTTCCGCAGTCTCAAGGGTTTTTGCGAAAATTTACACGAAGTATTCTTGCTGGGACTCATGATGATGTCGCAGATGTTTCCGAACACTTTGAAGAATGGTCAAAAACTAGCGGTTTTTTTTTTCTCTCGATGTTGTAGTACCTTGAAATGAAGTGATTTTGATTACGACATTTTTTTGTTTTTTAAATATTCCATATTACGTGACATGAATACCGCATTAACACAAGAACAAATATATTTCTTTTTTTTTTGATGTTTTTACAATTAATTTCTGATTTTTAAACTCCTTGATCAGCAACTGACATATTCGAAAAAATTTATACTTGTCGTCACAAAAGCAAATATTTTCATGATAAAAAACTTTAAACAAGTGCGGTTTACAGATGCAATATCGTAATTTTATTCAAGAGGATTTTTGAAACATTTTCTTACTTGGCAGCACTTGAGTACAATACTTGAATATCATTAGTGAACCATGCGAACTTGATTCCCTTTTCTAAAACTCTGATTTCATTCAATTAAAACCTGAATGTAAAAAAAATTCCGTTCGTATAGAGAGGATTCTTTACACTGTAAATTTTACGAATTTCAAGACCGGAAAACTGCGAGAAAAACGTACGCGAAGTTATGGCTTGGATGAGGACAGAAAACTGTTGAAATATAGACAAATGGTCAATTGAATCTTTTAAAATTGCAACGAGAAGATGTGTGGCTTCCAATCCAACTCGGACGAACTATATTTCAAAATCCGAAGCCTCTGCTTTTAAAGGGGCAACATGTGGACAACTTTGTTACTGATGAATTTTATCGTGATTCTGAGAACATGATTCAATCACTGCTTATCTGCCGCCACGCTTGAGAATTATAATCGAAACAGACCCAACAGCGCCTCCGATTTTGTGTGTGCTTTTTTTTCAAAAACGGAAATGAGTTTTTTTAACGTTTTCTTATCTTTTGGGGAATTTCAAGCGTGGTTCCTTGGAATCGGATGCCAGTACATCGGAGCATACAGGAACATCCGATTCCCCGATAGTCAGAGACTGACGATGGGACTTTTGAGCTGATGTTTTTCTTTCCCACCGCCTGACGAAATTTTCGATAAAAAAAATGCACTCACTTTGTGTATTTTGAATCATGGTTGTGACTAAATTTTATTTGTCTTTCCCGTCACCATTCCAATCGTAATGATATCCGAGCGAAAAATCATAGAAAAAAAAATCTGAAATATACATCTGGAAGTCCAGCTGAAATATTTTTTCGGACAATGTTTGAAGTCGCCAACTTTGTAAATTGAAAACTCGAGGACTTATATCTTGAGCCTCTTCCTCTCTATTTTTGAGTTCCAAGCATGTTTCTTTGAAGCAGAATCCTGTGAAATTTCATATTTTTTTCGAATAAATGGGAATGATTTCAGCGTTTGTTGTTTGGAACATGCGAGGTGAGTCCGAAGATGTCTTCATGGTACCGGTTTTCTTCCTGCGAAAAATAAAATGGGGAAAATATTTTTTTTTACTGAAAATATTATCAATCAGATTTTTCAAAGAGTGCATGTATTATAGTATGAAGAACATTTTGGAGACAGCGGAGGAATTTTAAATCTAACCTTCATCGTCAAGAGGAAATCTTCAGCGTCTTCAGCAGACATTTTACCCAAGTCTTGCAGGATTTTCCCCAAAGTTGCGTACACCTCTACAGCCATAACGCAATCCCCACAGACGTAGAAGTGGCCGAATTTATTCACGATTTTATCGAAGATGCTTTCGGTGTTTTCTTGCATCAGATCCTGGACATATTTCTGGAACATTCAAAGACAAGTGAATTCAAAAACAAACTGCATAATAAAATATGCAATGATGAAATTCGAAAATTTTTCTTTCGACGTTTGGATGCAGTCAGAAAAATAATT